CCCCCCCCCCACATCGCTTTCAGAGTCCATGCCTCTGTGGAATACTGGTCAGAGTTCCTGGCTACAGATCCAGAGGTTCCAGGTCCAGTTCCCGGCGCTACCAAATTTTCTGAGAAGTAGTGGGTCTGGAACGGGGTCCCCGTGAGGATAACTGAGGAGCTATTTCAAGGAAAAAACTGCTCCTGTCTAGAAAACAGAAAATAACAGCCGTGGGGATCCGTTGCGCTGAACACTCGACACCCTCTATCCGCTAAAGTAGACACAAACTTCGCCGACAAGCGGCGGTCCCTAGGTCGGTATAGTTCGCTTGCGGAATACCGGCCATGGAATTTGTTTTGTTGTTTGTGAGCCCATGCAATTCTGAGTTCTGAAGGGGCATTGGGTCTTGTGAATTCTGGTCCTTCAGGCAAGCGTTTTGCTTTTAGTCCTGACGAAACCTACTACTATCCTTTCATGAGGGAAAGGATCCGACATCAGACCCTGTAAATACGCCCTACTATTAGGGCCATCATCACTTGGTATCTGTACTGGACTTCGGAATGTGGGCATACCGTGCGCGTTGTAACAACACATTATAAATTTGTTGGGAAAGACGTCAACCGCGATCTCCCGGTGGGCTGCGAACCAATTTTGGGTCGATCGCCAATGCATGAGAAAATAGTAAAACTTTTGTCTTTGTTTTTACTTGTACTTACAGAAGTTTCTGAAATCAATTTTTGGAACTAGATGAGAGATGAAAAGTATTCACATCTCAGAAAAGTGACCTTATGTTTAAAATAATAGTCCCGTCACCCTCTCCACGGAGAATCTCATCAGGTCAAAATATCAATCCTGCTTCGTAGAACGCGTCAATAATTTTGACATCAGAAACACAATACGAATTTCACAGAAAGAATGGTCACGACACAAAATTTCATATTTTAGTAACAAAACGTACGTGTCCAACATGTATCCACGTGTTTCATATTGTTCTATATTAATACAGATGCTTCATTAAAAACATGTTTGCAGTCATACATCACATTGGCTGTATCAGTCATTCACTCACGGAGCTGAGCCCTTCTTGAGAAGTCTCCAGTTGTGCAGTTACTCAGGAACCTCTCAGCAATTTATGGAACCCGAAGGTTCATTACCGTGTTCACAAGAGCCCTCCACTGGTCCCTATCCCAAGCCAGATTAACTCATTCCACACCATCAGTCCTCTCTCTGTAAGATTCATTTTAATACTGTCCACCCACCTACGTCTTGGTCTTCCTAGTGATATCTTTCCTTCTGGCTTTCCCACCAATATCCTATACGCATTTCTCGTCTCCCCCATTCGTGCTACATGCCCTGTCCTCCTGTTCCTCCTTGACCTGATCATTCTAATTATACTTGGAGAAGAGTACAAATTATGAAGCTCCTCATTATGCAGATACGTGTATATCCAACCTCCTGTCACTTCATCTTTCTTCAATCCAAATATTCTCCTCAATACCCTGTTCTCAAACACCCTCAGTCTACGTTCCTCCCTTAATGTCAGAGACCAAGTTTCACATCCATACAGAACCAGAAGCAAAATTATAGTTTCGTATATTCTAATTTTTATGTTTTTAGACAGCAGACGAGAAGACAAAGTGAACGGTAGCAAGCATTAACCGAATACAATCTCTTAATTTTCTCCTGAATCAGGTTTTGATTTGTTATAGTCGTTCTCAAATATCTGAACTGTGCTACATTTTCAAAACATCTGTCAGCTATCTTCATGTCATGATTTTGCCCTGCATTCTGGTGACGAGACAGCAACATGTATTCTGTATCAGCCGATGTAAATTCTTGAATAAAAATAAGCATTCGAACTTCAAGTTGCTTTCAGCCTATGAAACCTGAGTTCTTAAAAATTCTTATTACCTACTATGAAAACCTATATAAAAACAATCAACAATGGTCTAAATAAGTGATCCCAGAAATTCTGGACAATTTGGAAGTATCATTTGGCATGCAAAAGCCTGCTTAGGCCTTGTTTATAGCAATAAATGTCCCCTGTGCTTGTTTAATGAAAATCTGCATTTCTACAGGAATACTTGGGGGGGGGGGGCTTTTTCTTTCTTTTTCATCATCTCTGCTGATGACACAGGATTTGCGAGATGCAAACAGTGACATGGAATTAATGAGCTTCTAGGGATTTTGTAATTTTCTGTTGTACAGCTTCACAGACTGCCTCTACCTTTGAAATTATTAATTTACAACATACATACTACAGCAAAGCAACAGAAATCACCCGGGGAAAACACAGAGCCCGTTGCCTGGGAGCTGGCTACATATAGGTCAGAGTTCAGGGCTCTTTCTGCTCTTGTTAGGTCACGCTGTGTATTGCTGGCTCACTTCTCTTTCTAAGGATCTGTGGAAAATTTTCCTTCCATTCTCCCTCAGCCATGCTGTTTACAATTTTGCATCAATCCTTCCCTTCAGAAAGTGGGTTAATCAGCATCCTCCCACATCTCTATTAAACAATCAGGTCCTCAATTCCACACTGCAGAGGCTGTACAATGATTTCGTTATCTCTAAGAAACAGAAACATTTCATTTAACACTATAACAATATATGTTAAGCATTGCAGGGCTGAGGCACTTTAAGCAAGGAAATTCTATCACTGTACTGACCCATTCATCTATCAGAATATAACAAAATTATTTTGTGAACTCCACTGGTTAGCAGCAAGAGACATGAAAGCTAAATGCAAATTTCACCCTGTGCTTAATTAATTAAGCACCACACCGTGAAGACCTATGGGGGAGTGGAGGTAGAGCTCCACCGTTCTTCACCTCGGCATTAGGTGGAGGTGAGTGGTGAGCTTCACGTCTCTGCCGCTTTACCCCAGGGAAAGCTCTCCCGGTACCCTTTGGATTGGAAGTCAGGTGGTCTCAAAAGCCAGCCTGGACGCTACGGAGTAGAGAAAAACATTGTCCCTACCGGGACCATCCAGCCCGTAGCCTGTCGCTACACCGACTGAGCTATTCCGACTCTGCTGTATCACGAATCTGAGGACAGAGTAAGTGATGGGAAAAATGTTATTAAATGGAGATGGAGGTGGGGGAAGATCTTCAGGATTGATGACGAATTTTCTGTAATTCTTGCACAACTTTCAGCATTTTGAGGTTCCTTCATAACTGGCCAACATTAAGGCAGAAAACTTCATGGAAAATCACTTGGGATGTCTACCGATTTGTAATTTCTTAGTCCGCGACTTATTCTGCATCTTCAACCTTTCTTCTATCAGAAGGGGGCGTGTGGTTCCCGTCCTGTTTATTCGTAAATCGTGTCAAATACTTACTGGTACAGGCATTAATTATGTGGCCAGATATTGTGGAAGGGGCCTGGAATGAATTACGGGGAAATCGAATCATCACCCCCACTCACCGGCTGCTGCTGCTGATGTTGTGTCAGCACTGCCGACGACCTCGACCTCCGTGGGGTGATGCCCACGTTCTCCCCTCTCATTATCGACTCCACCACTGCCAAACATAAATCACAAACAAATTATCGTTTCCTTGTAAACAGTAAATATTACTGAGACCTATACTGCTGATAAGCTTTGGAAAACAATAGCATTTGTGCGTATGCAGTGCCTAGTATATGTATCTGTCAATAATATAAATGTATCCATCCCAAAAATGAGGGATGTGAAATCGGAGATACAGCCCCTTTTGGGAAGAGGACACAACAACAACAACAAAAACGACAGCGACAAAAACAACAGTAACTGCAGCAGAAGCAACAATTATAATATTCAAGTAATTTATTTTAGAGCCTGACAGCAGCAAATAAGTCAATTATAGGAGAGGATTGAAAGAGCATGAGGTAAATTAAAGCAATAAGATCTATCAAAGACATGACAACAGAATGAAATGTGCAAAGCAAATCTTAAATATTACAAACGCTAAAAAATACGAATTGAATACAATGAATGAGTCACTGTCGCTGTTGATTTCTGCTTCTTCTTCCTTGACGGATTAGGTCCTCTGGTGTGTATCCATTCAGAATTAATTCTCAAATTTGGATCTTGTATACAGTCGGTAAGACTCCTTAGACGGGGAATCAGCCCGTCGCAAGGCCACTATCTATGCAGGACAACATAAACAAAGAATAAAAGCAGACATACATCCATGCCTCGAGTGGGATTCGAACCCCACGATTCCAGTGTTTGAGCGGGCGAAGACATTTCGTGCTTTAGACCGCATGGCCAATGGAATCGGTTACTGCACATTTACCGTACTTTATTTTACGTTTTAGGAAGAACTTATTATATAAGTATAGATTTTGTATATGTTAAATCTATCAGCTACAACCTCGAAATTTGGAACCGTTCCCATATTTGTTAACTACTGACTTTGAACAATCCTATCCTATAAGTATGTTTCTGATCCGTCACTGTACCAATTACACTTGCCTACTGCAATCAAACCGAAATCTGAAGAAAATATTTGCGGGGACACCATGTTTTTATTTCACATTCTATGAAGACATTACCGCAACAAAGACTGCGTGTCTTTCCAACATGTACCCTGAATTATGGGCTAATTGGCGCTAGTGTTGTTCATACACCAAAGTTCGCATCTCCCATCCGGAAACGCAATATAAACAAGATGGTTACATAATTAGTAATTGAAGTTAGCACTGTTACTCTTCCGTTAGCCGGAATAGCTCAGTCGGCATAGGGACGGGCTACGGTGTTCTATTCCCAGCACGGGCAAAGAAGTTTCTATCTTCTCTACAGTGTCCAGACCGGCTCTGGGACCTACCCAGTCTCCTATCCAATGGGTAGTGAACATTCAGTCCCCAGGGGGGAGTAAAATGGCCGGGGCGTGAAGCTGATCATTCACTTCCATCTAGTGCCGAGGTCAAGAATGGCGTGGCGCTTCATTAATTAAAGACAGGGTTAATTTAACCTGTTTATATCTTTACTGTTACCTTTATAAGTGCATAATGTAATTGTCGTTTCATACCACGCCACAACGGCGTGTGGGCGAGTGGAGGTATATCTCCCAGAGCCTGGCTGGACACTATGGGGAAGAGAAAAATCTCTGCTCCTACCGGGAACTGAACCATGACTCCTCGGTTGTCTAGCCAGTAACCTAATCCTTATATCAACTGAGTTATCCCGCATGCATAATAATAATAATAATAATAATAATAATAATAATAGTAATAATGTCTCCGTGTGAATGCTGCGTGTCATTTACCCACCAGAACGCAACTCAGTTTAGACCAATAAAATATGCGCACACGACCCCAGCCACTGCGGTGCATTCACAGAAATAAACACAGAGGGTAAGCAAATAAGCATCAATATTTGGAGCATAAAATGTAACTGTTGGGGGAGGAAAAGGGCAGAGAGTGCCTATACCCATGTGATGAAGGAATATTTTCAGCAAACCCAAATACAAAAGCTGACTGTGTTTCCCCACTGGTGAACGTTAAACAATTCATGAACCCATCGCTGTGCCTTAATTATGTGCTCTGAACAGACCTGATTCTTCGGGTTCTTTTCATAGTTCTCGTCCTCTAATAACAGAACAGAATGGAATTTAATTATTATTATTATTATTATTATTATTATTATTATTAAAAACAAACTCCGTGGTTTTGGTCCTCAAGCGAACTATACCGGCCGAGCGACCGCCGCTTGGCGGCAAAGTTAATGCCAACTTTAGCGGTCAGGGGGTGCCGCGTTGTCAGCGCAACGAATCGCCACGGCCGTTAATTTCGGTTTTCTAGACCGGAGCCGCTATTTCCCTGAAAAGATCCTCAGATATCATCACGAGGCTGAGTGGATCCCGTTCCAGACCCACTACTTGCCAGAAAATCTGGTAGCGCCGGGAATCGAACCCGGGATCTCTGGATCTGTAGCCAGAACTCTGACCACAAGACCACATTATTATTATTACACTCTCAGCCTCGAGCTGAGCAGACGTGCGTGTTGCAACGTGCGATAGTGCCGAGTTGTGGTGGCGGAGTGTCAGTTTACTTGGGCGCTGTTGCAGCTCTGAATCTCCGGAGCTATGAATGCTAGCAAGGATATCTGCAGTCGAGGAGGATGAGGTGGACGGGACATGTAGCACGAATGGGGGAGACGAGGAATGCATACAGGATATTGGTGGGAAAGCGAGAAGGAAAGAGACCACTGGGAAGACCATGACGTAGGTGGGTGAACAATATTAAACTGGATCTTAGAAAGAAAGGATTGGATTGGCCTGGCTCAGGATAGGGTCCAGTGGAGGGCTCTTGTGAACACGGTAACGAACCTTCGGGTTCCATAAAATGCTGGGAAATTCTTGAGTAGCTGCAGAATTGGCGGCTCCTCTAGAAGGGCTCAGCTCCTTGAGTAAGTAAGTAATCACTCTGATAGAGACTGTCATACTACAGCTTCAACCGCTGTTTCCGAAGCAGTTCTGGCTCTAAACGTAGATTCGACCTTGATTATTTTCAACAACGTATAGAAAAGGTACAGCTGTCCCTGTGCTTAACTAATTGATCACTACGCCATGAAAACGTATGGGGGAGTGGATGTATAAGCACACGTTTTCTTGACCTTGGCACTAGTTGGAAGTGATTGATCGCTTCACGCTCCAGAGCCGGTCTGGACGACATGCAAACGTTAAATTCTTGCCCTCCACCGGGACTCGAGCTCCGAATCCTTGGCCGTGCAGCCCGTAGCCAGTAGCTATATTCAACACCGTGTATGGGCATAAATTACTGTAACTGATGGCCGTGACTTGCTTATTTCGTCCCTGATATCAAGGTTGTAATATTAAAAATTACTTCAACTTTTTAGAAAATAGGTTAGATACCTTAAGTTATCGTGTGATTTTGCGCTGGGATTTTATGTCCCTGATTCGATTGGAATTGTGATTTAGCTTCCCCAAACTGAAAGGATATTTCATACACTCCGCCACTTGTTTCCGGTTTAAACCAACGTAATTATGCTGAAAACGACGGCAACTTGCTTGACCTTGTTTTCTCAAATTTTGCTGAGCTTTCAGTTGACCATGCTGAATACGGCCTAGTTCAGCCCGCTCATTCCCGTTCTCCTTTCATCACTGAGCGTCCAATGCCAGTTCGACGTTATAAACAAAATTTTAATACTTCTTACAAGAGATTTTCTGCTGGGGATTACGCAGTGCTTTATATTTCCTTGCCCACTTATGAGTGGTCTTCACTGTACAACGAAACATCTCTTGATGCTAACGTTCATAGATTAAATGCTGATGTATTTCTTTTTATTGCTAGTGGGGTGGGACTTAGTCCCTTGTACTGCGGCCACTTCTGGCCTATTGTATCAGCCACAGATGATAGGTGAGGATGACTGTGGAGCAGTTGGTGGAATGAAGATTGGCAGGGGAAACCGAAGTACTCGGAGAAAACCTGCACCAGCGCCACTTTGTCCACCACAAATCCCACTTGACCAGACCTGGGATCGAACCCGGGCCGCCACGGTGGGAACCCAGCGACTAACCGCTTGAGCTATGGCGCAGCCAAATGCTGATGTAACTCAAGCCAGATCGCCTCTGTGGTCTAGTGGTCAGAGTTCCTGGCTACAGATCCAGAGGTTCCAGGTCCAGTTCCCGGCGCTACCAAATTTTCTGAGAAGTAGTGGGTCTGGAACGGGGTCTACTCAGCCTCGTGAGGATAACTGAGGAGCTATTTCAAGGAAATAGCGGCTCCGGTCTAGAAAACCGAGATTAAGGGCCGTGGGGATCCGTTGCCCTGACCACGCGACACCCTCTATCTGTTAAAGTTGGCATTATCTTCGCCGACAAGCGGCGGTCGCTCGGTCGGTATACTTCGCTTGCGGACTACCGGCCATGGAGTTTGTTTATATTCGTTCTTGCCCTAAAACCATTCCCTTTATTCATCAATCTACGGACACTTTACACTTAGCTCCTACTTCGAACTCGGATGTTCATAATGTTATAAAACGGTTGCGGCCAACTAATTCAGTCAGTCAGTGAGAAAAATCATTGTCTTTGTTAGGAATCGAAGACCAGTCTTCCAGCTTGTAATCAGACACTATGCTGACCGACGTAGAAACGCGTTAATATAAATACACTGTTTCTTCTTCTCCACTCCAATCACATGTCTCCATCTCTCCTTGTCGATAAAACCGCAAAAGTGTTTCAGTCTTATTTCTCCAGGCAATGAGTCCCACCATCAGCATCACTAGTAGTGAAAGAATGAAAACACACATTTTCCATTCTTATTCTGAATAATTTACATGAAAGGCGTTAGTTAACCGTTTACACGTTTTATCTAATTAATACAGCCTCCAGCCGTATTTCTTACTGTCATGCAACTTCTCACAACTATAAGTTACCAAGCTTCTAACAGAATTACTTAATGCTTCGTTTTCGGAACAAAGTGGGTCATAAAAGAAGACTGTGGGAAAAAGTCTGGTATTTGTAGGATAAGCTAGGGTACGTATCGTACCACTGTGTTAATCGGAAAGCTAACAAGCAGAAGTGACGTGCATTTAGCTTCAAAAACGTGCTGCAGGAATAATGGAGCCTGCAAAGAAGTAATTAATTAATTTCATGGACCACAGCCCTTACTAAGGGCGGCCTGGATAGCGTAGTCGGTATAGCGACTGGCTACGGGTTGGATGACCGAGGGGTCGTAGTTTCAGTCCCGGTAGGGACGTTTAAATAGTTAAGCACAGGGATAAGTTCACCTTCACCTTAGAGCCCTTACTGAGAAGCTGACAGTAGATCAGTTGGATACAAAACTCGTCTTTTACTGAACCCAAAGATTCAACACCATACTCACAGGAGTCCACCATTAGTATCTATCCTAAGGTACATGAATCAAATAGACTTGCGCATCCTCACGCCCTATTGCAGATAAATTTCTAGGCCAAGAAATTCTTCGTCTTTTATATAAGTACAACGCTCATTACCGTGTTCACAAGAGCCAAACTCTGGAATCTACCCTAAGCTAAATGAATCTAACATGCCTAAATATCCTCATATCCTATATAAGGTTTTTTCTTGGTCATGAGAATCTCCATCTTTTATTAAACCCGAAGGTTCATCGCCGAGTTCACAAGAGCTTGCCATTGGACCCTATTCTGAGCTGGACGAATCCCGTATGTCTACATACTGTGATATGTCAACGCATTGCTAGGCAACGGCTGGACAAACACCCCGCGATACGCTCATGCAACAAGAGAACGAATGATTATAGATCTTTGCTAGGCAACAGTCAGCGCGCCAATGAACTCGCTGGGTAGGGATCACGTGACGTGTTTTCTGTAGGTCCGCGCCGAAGGTTTATAAAAGACAACAAAGGTCGTTTGTGGGCAGTCGTAAGCAGGAGGAATGAGCAGTAAGCTGGAGGAATGAATAATACACGGAGTTTTTAGTTGGGTTCCGAGGTTCCAAGGTGATTGAACAAGAAATGACAAGCAGGCTTCATAGTGATTTGAAGTGTTAATTTCTGTGTTGAGATCCGTTGCTAGGAGACGACTTAGTGCAGACGGAGAATCCTGGTGCGTGTGTAACGGTGCCCTGGAAAGAGTCTAGAATAGCGACAGCGTGTGATTAAGAGAACTTGTAACCGAAGCGCCAATAAATCCAGTCATCCGAACTAGAACCCATTATTTTCGTCACGCGTACCCCCATACACGTGACAATATTCTGGCATCCTATTTAAGATGAATTTGAATATTGCGTTCACAATTACGTGTAGGTCTCCCAAGTGATCTCTTCAGGTTAGCAGACTAACAACTCGTCTATCAGTTACGCACTATGTACGTATCCTGGTTAACCCCACCTCCTTTGATTTGACGGTCCGAACAGGCCTACTACTTGACGACGAGTAAACACTGATACCGAAGTTTTTCCGGAAACTTCAAAGGAAGAGATCACTCGCGCGAAGACAGAACGATGAAAATAAAACTGACCTTATACGAAGAGCGTGTGGACTGGATTCATCTGGCTAAGAATAGGGACAGTGGTAGACTATGGAGAAGACAGATAGAAATACCTAATTCGCGAGATGTCATGCGACATTATTTGACTGAAAGATTATAATAATATGCAAAGACTCTGGGATTGATCACAGTGACACAGTTATAAATGTTTGACATGATTATTAAGTTATGACGGCGTAGGGCCTACCTCCGTCACCGATGAGCCTCATCTGCACGATGCAAGGGTCCTCATTGTGCTCCTCCAACACTGTATCATCTGTGACGGTCAGGTCCTGCAACATGAAAACAAGAAAGGCTCTATAACTTCCCTTTCCAGCAGCACTCAATTTTGTTGAAATTTACATTAAAATGAAATCGTTAAAGGCTGAATTCTCTCGTTGGAGCTTTATTAACCATGTGGGTCTTTCCGTCCCATTTACGGCCTAAGTTTGTGCCAAAACTTAACTAATATATTCGATTAAAAACAACAACAACTCCGTGGTTTTAATCCGCAACTGAACTACAAGTATACCGACCGAGCGACCGCCGCTTGTCGATGAAGTTAGTGCCAACTTTAGAGGATAGACGGTGTCGCGTGGTCAGCGCAACGAATCTCCAGGGCCGTTAATTTCGGTTTTCTAGACAGGAGCCGCTATTTCCTTGAAATAGCTCCTCATTTATCCTCAGAAGGCTGAGTGAACCCCGTTCCAGACCCAATATATTTCAGAAAATCTGGTAGCGCCGGTAATCGAACCCGGGACCTCTGGATCTGTAGCCATGAACTCTGACCACTAGACCACAGATAAAGCATATTATTTATGTTATTTAAACAGTAGGCCCAAACTGATTCCATGCTACACTAAGATACTGGAAATCGCTTCATGTCTGAATTTATTTGATGTTTACGATGATTTGCAAAAGTGCAGTGTATTTAATTCGTGGCTTTTGAATAACATGAATTATGTGTTCCACGCCTATCAACACAACCAGTCACATGGATGCCTAGAGTCATTCTTGAGAAGATGATCTTTCAGCTAGTCAAGAAATTCCACCACGTTTACGGAACTTCAAATGTAATTACCAATGGCACTTCCCCCATGTTGAACAAGTTGAGTTGTATCTATTCACTCAAGGGATGAAAGAAAATTTCATTGGGCAACTTCAGAGTTTGTAAGAACTCCCTTGCTTTGAAGAGCGGAGAAGTGAAAATAAAGGAGAACGTGGGGAAGTCAATTGATCTTGAAATCGTACGAAGGATCAAACAGTGATCAAATACTACTGCACTGAAGCTAAATTAGCATTACCGGCTTCTAGAGTCTACTTTCTAACAACAGCGAATATTTTACCCATTTTGGCTTATTTTCCTTATTTTGAAAAAAAAAATTAGACTTATGAGATCACGTTGCTGTGTCTCCATGTGTATCCCCCAACTTTTGAATGCCTGAACCAACCCTTACGAAATTTGGCATGTATATCATGGCATCTGGCCCACAGTAATACCAACATTACAGCTTCTCACATTTCTGAGACAAAACCTTTGTATTGTTTGAACTCTTGTACCAATCTTAATGAAAACCAGAATGTACAGTACGTCAAGCCACACGAAGCTATCTCAACGGCATACTTCATAAATCCCTTCGATCAGTAATACCAACATTACAGTCTCAAACTTTTACGGTACTAACCGTAATATTACTGAACCGATCGTCATGGAACCTGGTAAATATATCATGCCACCTGAGCCTATTTCAAAGGCGTACATTGCAAATTCAAATTCAAGTCTTTCAAATTGCTGAGGCAAAACGTTAATATTGTTTGAACGCCAGTATCATCTTCATAAAACTTTCTACGTATATCATGCCATATGAAGCTACCTCAACGGCTTGCATCATAAATCCCGCCCATCAGTAATACCAATATTGCATCCTCTCAAATTTCTGAGACAAAAAGACCTTAATATTGTTTGAAGGTCATTTCAACAGTGTACTTCATAAATAACCTCCATCAGCATTATTAGAATTGTAGCCTCGGGAACTGTATTGTTTCATTGACTCCATTATGCATACATAAAGAATTCTTCCTACTTGTATCAGATACTAATATTACACTGACAGGAGAGCAGGCGATTAGTGTTAATTTGTTAGATTTTGTATCCTGCGTACGGTATTGCTTTTTAAATATTACCATGGCTATGTTATACATTGCCGGTCACGGTAGCCGAGCGGTCTAAGGCATGCACTGTCTTCGCTCGCTCGGAAGCTGGGATCGTGGGTTCGAATCCCACTCAGGGCATGGATGTTTGTGTGCGTTTTTTTGTGTTTGTCTACAGGTAGAGGCCTACCGAATGTGTAAGATCTAGAAAAACCGAAGTGAACGGAGAAGTTCATGGAGGTAGGCCTAGCCCCACTGTGCTCGCGTGCATTCACCAATAACCCCGTAAATGACCCACCAGCAAACGGACTTACTAAATGACCAATTAAATCACCGACATTAAAATCCAAATATTTAAAACCTCAACAGAACTCGTCACTAACCTCCATCCGAAACTAGGTTAATATACATATACACATTGCCAAACCCTACAAAACAAGGGTTCTCAAAACGTTGTGATACAGCGACCCCTAAAAATAATAAATAAATTCACGTGACCTCCCATCTCTGCAGTTCCGCACATTCGTGTAGTTGTATAACCTCCCTAAATCTATATTAAGCTATTCACAGAATGTACATGCAACATAATGAAAAAATTAGTGACTATTTCCTCCGGCTGCAGCGATATATTCGAGAAGCATCTGTTAAATCTTGCTTATTCACTTGCCAAACCTGCGCGTGGATAAACTATATTTTAAATAATCCTTGAAAACTAGGCGAGCCCCTAGGATTCCAGACTCACAGTTTGACGAATCATAATATAGAGACATCCCAGTGCTATTCTTCCATCTGTGTATCCATCACTGAAGTGGTCTCGTTCTAAGATGTTTCTCCAGCAATCAAACAAAATATATTATTGACACTTCCTTCAAATAAGAGTTATAAATCTTAATGATGTCTATATATTACACCACGTCCAAATTTTCGATAAAGGGAAAAGATTATATAAAAATAATAGTTAGTTTTGGTTGTGAAGCTCTGCGGTACGGATTTGGTGCGCAAAAGGACCGTAATCATATTCACTAATCACATTTTAGTACGAACTTCTAATTCCAAAGTTTGTCTAAATTCCTTCAGAAGCTTTAGGACTAGAAATGTAGTAGTGGGGAGGGGGCACTTATTCCCTTCTGGAACTCTTACGAAGGAGTTTTCAGTACTCTGTTTTTTTTATTATTTTTATTGCTAGTGGGGTGGGACTAAGTCCCTTGTACTGCCGCCACTTCTGGCCTATTGTACCAGCCCCAGATGATAGGTGAGGGTGATTGTGGAGCAATTGGTGGAATGAAGATTGGCAGGGGAAACCGAAGTACTCGGAGAAAACCTACCACAGCCCCACTTTGTTCACCACAAATCCCACTTGACCAGACCAGGGATCGAACCCGGGCCGCCGCGGTGGGAAGCCAGCGACTAACCGCTTGAGCTATGGCACGGCCTAGTACTCCGTTTGTATTTTTTCGTTTCAGTCTGTTTTTCTGAGGCTCTCCTATTTTTAATGCCACAACTTGCAGTTTCTCGCTAGGCGTACACAGGTATATTTACATATTTATAAATTCCATTAATGTACGTACATGCTCACAGTCTTCGGGTTTATTGGCTGATCAATACTGGAACGTTTTCCTGGTCCGTCTAACCTTTCTTACGTCCTTTGTCTTTAACCTCTGTCCAATTCACAAGCAAACTTAACATACCAGTACCCATCATGCGAGTGATGTCCGCATGAAGTGGCCATAGCAAGTTGCTAATATCTGACAAACAATACACAAACCGATATAGCTTTCTAGCAAACCAATGAAATCTATTCATATAGCAACGAAGATCAACACTGTCATATATTTCTATCTCACACCAACGCACCAAGTTCAGTAGAACTGCAAATGCCAAACTGGAGGATAATATTGTCATGTGTAATAGTGACTGTAGACGGGGTTTGGATTGGTGAATAGAATTACTGGACACTCACAGGTCGTAACTACAATTAATTATAACACTCGAAAGATTACTGTAACTATAGCACACAAAATAAAGGCTTTAATGTCTGCTTACACTAGTCGTTGCTTGGTAACGAATCTTATCACAGCTGAATACTCAACTACTAAACTGCCTTCTGAAGTCTGATACGAGTGAATCTGTGAAGAATCACTCACGAGTCGAGTCAAGTCGAATCGAGTCTTATGTTACGACCGACGGTCAGTCGGCCATTGTAACTTGTAATAGAGCACCCATCTGGGGCTTACATCCAGATTCTTATTAGTCAGATAGTTGCGGGTTTGTTGATGTGGGGCGCTCTCTCTGATGAGAGGACGGGTCTGTCGTTTACAATTGGTGCTGGCCCTCGCCAACGCAGTCATTCTTGGGTCCGAGTTTCCATATTTCTCTGTCTCAGATTTGAGACATCCCTTTTTGTTGCCTCCTACGACTCGCAGGGTTACGGTGGAGGAATTCGACCCCGTCTCCAAACGGGATTCATCCCTCACGAATGAAATGTCCTGGACTGAACTAACTTCCATGCGGACCGAATACAGATCACCATGTCGAACAGTTAATTCTCCTCTGTTATTTTGATTGTTGTCACGGGAAGAGGTGCTAGCGAACTGTTGCCTAGCAAAATGACTTCCGCTTCTGCTGCTATTCCGGTTTTTAAGCAGTGTTTACGGAGTCCTTGCCTAGGAAATGGTCATATTCCGGCAAAATATCAACAGAGAAGTAAGGGAAACAAGCTGTTCAGTGATGAAGAGGACTGATTCAGTGAATGAGAAGGCCCAATGGTGATGAACCTTCGGGTTGCATCAACTTACCACTCGCAACAACAAACCGTGTCAGGGACATCTGTATCACAGAGACGACACTTACGGTACGACACACTGCAGAAGCGCTTTACAGTCTTCATTACATTTGTTCATGAAACTGACGAGCCTGTAGACTCAACATTTGTTAGTGTCCCGTCCGTGAAAGGACCTGTCTCCAGTCTCACCTGTCCCAGTACGTGTTTAGAGCCCAATGCTGTCCCCTTCCATTTAACGTGATCCAATCGAGAAGATGCAGTCGACTGCATCCAGCTGTCATCTGAGACATTAACACTTTAACAGGACACATCTGCCAGCCAGATGAAACATCTCAATATGAAAGTTCCACTTGATACGTC